GTTAGTAGAGAATTGTGAGATATATTGTAGCTGTATTAGTTGTCTGGGAGAGGCTTTGTTATTATTTTGCTTAAAAGCAAACGTTAAGGGCTTATGATCCGTATAAATAGTAAAATCGCGGCCTTCAAGTAAATGTTTAAAATGTTTAACGGATAAATATATACCCAAAAGCTCGCAATCGTAAGAGCTATAATTTTTCTGGGCATCATTAAGCTTTTTTGAAAAAAAAATGCAATAGGCTTCCATCCGTTTGGTTCTTTTTGTTGAATGACTGACCCAATAGCCAAATCGGATGCATCTGTGAGAAGTGCCAGAGGGTAATCCGAATTGGGGTAGGCCATCAACGCTACTTGAGCAATATCTTGTTTACATTTTTCAAAACTTTTCCCTGGTTTCATTGGTCCATAGTATTTTACGTCGATCTTTTTTGTAGATCCTTTCAAAAGTTCATGAAGAGGAGCTTGAGTTTCTGCGGCATTTTTTATATAATTACGGTAGAAATTGATCAGTCCTAAGAAGGAACGAAGTTGGTGTATAGTTTCTGGCAACGGATATTCTATGATAGCTTTAATTTTTTGAGGTAGAGATTTTGAACCTTCAGCAGATATTCGATAGCCCAAAAAGTCTATTACAGGTACTCCCAAAACTGATTTGCTAATATTAATTCGGAGACCATATTTATCTAAAAGCTGGAAAACTGTTTTAAAATGTAAACGATGTTCTTCCTCGCAAGAAGAGGCAATCAACACATCATCCAAATATGGAAACACGAAGTCTAGGCCATAAAAAACTTCATTGATGAACCTCTGAAAGGTTGCGGGGGCATATTTGAGACCAAAATTTATGACATTGAATTGGTAGAAACCAAAAGGTGTGATGATGGCAGTTTTTTTTATCTTCATCTTCTACTGGAATGTGAAAATACGCTTTAAAGAGATCAATTTTAGAAAATATAGTTTTATGAGTTAAAATATGTTGAAAATCTTGAATTCGAGGAATGGGATAACGATCAGGTACAGTTAAATCATTCAGTCTTCCACATGGGCTGTAATCCCCACATGGGCGGAAAGAACCGTCTTTCTTTGTCGCTATGTATAGGGGACTTGCCCATTCTGAACTGGACGGACTAATGATGTTATTGTCTAGCATAAATTTGAATTCTCTTTTAGCTATTTCCAACCTTTTAAAGTCTAATGGTCTTGCTTTAAAACTTACAGGTTGTCCTTCAGTTATAATATGATGTTTCACATTATGCTTTACAGTAGAAATAAGAAAATTTGGTTTTGTGATACTAGGATACATAACAAATAAATCAGAATATTTACATAAGCTGCCCATTGTATGTACAGTTTCATTAATAGAAATGGGTGCGATGTCACCATAAACTGCAAGGTTAGTCACACCATCAATTAGCCTTTTATGCTTTATATCAATTAATAAATTGAACTATCTGCAACTTATATGGTTTACTAATTTTTGCTACAATAAATGGGAATTGAAATTCTCGGCGTAAACCAAGATCAAGAATTAAAACTTCTGTACCAAAAGTATCAATTTCTGTATTATTTGCAGCATATAATTTATAGTCACTAATAAGTTTGTGTTTAGAAGCACGAGGAATAAGGCTTACCTCTGCTCCACTGTCAACCAGAAAATGTAAACCTGTTTTTTTTGTCCGTGATAAATAAGCGGAATTTACGGCAATTTTCTTTATTTACAGCAGCAGAGTCTGCCGCTAATTCTACTGCTGATTTTCGTTTTCCGGGGAGTCTTTTTTCCATGCACAGGGGCTTTGCATCTATCAGGAAAACACTTTTCTCGAAAAACGAAAGTGGAAAAAACAGTACTTCCCATTAGGGTTATAACGTCTCCGAGACTTACTTCGATCATTAGATGATCGACTGCTATTTCTTGAGCGAGGACGAGAATTCCTTGTGAGAGTTAGTTTTTCGAATTTATTATCCAAAGCTGCAATTTTTTGTCGTAATTCAGCAATAGCATCTGCTCCTGGAGAAACAATACTGCTGGCACAGTATAGTTCTTGTTTCGGTTGCATTTCAATGACACGATCGGCTATTAGAGCTAGCTTTTCGATATCTTCATCACTAACGATTAAAATATTGCGCACAGAATCTGGCATTTTCTGCAGAAATAGAGTTTTAAGAACTTTATCCGAAATGCCATCGGTAGCAAGATTTCGCATTTTTTGTAAAAGTTGACTAGGTTTACTAGGTCTCTTTTTTGTAAAAGTCTAGGTTGCTATCTCCTGTCTATCTTAGTCCAGTCTCTGTAAACGTTTATTTTCACTTTCTTTAAAAGTGTTTAAGAGACGTTCTTTAGCAGCAGTATATTTGGTTTTGCTATTGTCACTTATAATATCCCACAAACTTTCAACAAATTTTGCTTCCAATTGCGAAACTAAGTAGTTGAATTTAAGTTTCCTCGGCAGTTATTCCACAAATAGAAAACTGTGCTTCTACTTGGTAAAACCATATCTCTGGCTTTTCAGCCCAAAAGGGAGGTATTTTCACACTTACCCGTGCTATTTCTTCTTTAATCGCCGATTCTTCACTTTTTGACATCTTTATCAATGATTCCGAGGTCACCAAAAATGTAGTTGCTTGCTAAGGTCTTTTTTACAATGATTTAAAAGGCAAAAAGCAAAAGCAAGAATCAATTTTTTCCATATATAACATCTTTGTTATTCTTTGTAGCCCTCACTAACTCCTTACTGATTTCAACAAGCGCCTGGCCCCAGCCACCACCCCTGTTCTTATTGGTTGCCGTTTATGACGTCAGGCTGTAAAGATACCATTATCTGTTTCGGTTGAGTTATGTTAAGGAGAACTTATATTACTTTGGCCTTGGTTATGCCCTGTGTTAATGTGAATTTGTGCAATGTAACGGAATATTTGCAATTAAAACAAACATAATAGTATAAGAAAATATGTCGCCACTTTTTATTTAAATTGTTAAATCGATAAAACTTTATGATGCGTAAATACTGTTTGGCTTAGCATCTGTATTCAGTGCAACTCAGCAGCGCTATACTAATATTTAGGAAATACATTATATAATTTCATATAGCAGGAGACATTAAAAGTATTTGAATCTTCAGCAACGTCAACAAATAGCACTTAACTCTTACTGTGTAGAATAATATTTTCTGCCGCAGTTTTTAAGAACTAGCGGTTTATTTTACAAAAAAGTGTTTTTAAAAGCGATATAAATGTAAAAGCTAGTTATTTCTTCATAAAAATTAACCGTTTGTTAACTAAATTACCTTCCTTTCATTAATTAATTGTTTGTAATAAAGAGATTGTTTGGAATAAAAATTGTTCGTAGTCAGATTAATTTTTTACTTTCTTATTCTAGGCATTAATTTTTAAATTAGATAAAGTAATAAAATATTTTTAAAGCACTTATAACATCATTTATTTGACTTTACCAATTGGAGTTATCAAGCTTTGTTTTATGCAATTTTGTTTTGTTTCTTAACTTTTATATCTTTTAAAAAGGGTTTATTGCCAAATGAGTTCAATATTCATCAAATGACAAAAAAAAAAAAAAAAAAAAAAAAAAAAAAAAATACTGCTAAACAATTATAAATCTAAACATCGAATTGTACCTTTTTTCTAATACCATGTATATTAACAATATGTTTCTGAAGCTACTATTTATTTTTGTAATTTTTTTCGCAAGTATGTCAAATATTATTCTATCGTCGTCCATCGCATCGCCATTGTTCGCACTAAAATGGCCTCGGGCTCAAGATTTTGGTGTGCAAAAACGCCGCGGAGAATTCTTTTCGTCACTACATGATATCACAAGTCGTGTCCAATAAGAGCTTGGAGTGGTGGCTGGGGCCAGGCGCTTGTTTGATTTCATGCCTGACAACACTTAGAAACTAAACTGAAACTAAAGGTGAAGTGAAAGTTATTATCTAGTAGAAGTAGTTGTAGTTATTATGACCAATAATAAGTGTTGCCTACACAGGTGAGGAACACGAATTTTTACTTAAATTATGAATAATTATACCTTGAATTATATTTCATTCAATTATGCGCTATTTTTAATTTAATACTCTTAGCTATACCCCGTTGACAAGCAAACAGCAAACACAAAAATATTTTCCGAATACGTACCCCCATCTTCTACTATGAAAAGCTCCTTAGCAAGGGAAAAGTAACACGGATCTCTTCCTAGAGGAAGTAAGTCATCTAATGATAACCTTAGTCTGATCTACCATAATAAGCTGTTTCTCCCTTATTTGGCGTCAAGACTATTCTCCGAAGAATATCTCACATTGCACTACATATTGCACGCTAACTTCATCATGTATAGACCTATCTTCATGAATCATCTGAAATGGCTGCAGAAGGACAAGCAATGCTTCAGGTGCCCTAAAAATGTCCTCAGACCAATTTGTAGTCATTTAAATTTTCTTTTTCATTTCTAGCTGCAGAAACTTTTTGCAATTTGTTTTTCAGTTTAGCGTAAATTTCTAAATGCTTGTCTCTGTAAGTATCCCGTTTTACCTTCGATATCAGAAGAATTATGATGGAAAATGAGTACACAATCAATTATCCAATGAAAGACATCTCGTCACAACACAAACAGTTTAATATTACAATTCTATTTACAAGTCTAATTAAGTGTTAGTTTTAGCTTTGACACCTCAAAGCAATACTCAGAACATAAATGGCATAAAATATTACTCATCAGTTTTTTAAATACTCATGAAAAACATCTCAAAAAGTCATTATTCTCATTACTTAAAACGAAAAGTAAACAATAGAACAAACTCGAAAACGTAGATGTAAAAAACTCAACTGTTGCCAATCGCGATTTACTAAATTACATCAAAATAAAGATAATAATCAGGTAGAGGTTCAACTTCACATCCTCCCACCTAAGTTAATATTTTTACCTCAAAAATTTAACTTACAAAAGAAAATTGTGAATATTTTAGAAGTTACAAAAAGGAAATTATAAGTAGTTCATAAGTTTAGTCTCTTAGGTACTTTGATTGTACGACCTGCTCTAGTCTTTTGAATCTGAGGTTCAAGTCCACACACCTTATCAAAGGAAGAATGGGCACAGGTTTCCTCTCCCACCTTCGCGGTTGAAAATTTCTCGATAATGGGATCATCGTTGGAAACTTCAAGTGGATACAATCTTTGAATTGGTCTTAGCAAGTGTCCATTAGCTGTTTTAAGCTTGACAAGTCTTGTAATTCCATCTTTTCCTGGAAGAATCTGAATTATTTTACCTAATGGCCAATTGATTCGCTTGGTGTTATCACTTCCTATCAATACAATATCACCAATATTCACTTTCACAGATTTTTTGTTTCCTGCTTTTTGAATAAGTGCTCCTAAATATTCAGACCTAAACCTGTTTCTCAAATCCTTTTGCAAGTTTTCTCTATATTTGACTCGCTTATTAAGACTTTTATGCCCAATGTCATCAAGATCTGGAACACCACTTATTTGATTATCTTGCAGAAATAGAGATGGACTTAAAGGCATTAAAGTAGCATCACTTTCAGTTACATATGTCAATGGACGGGAATTAATTACTGCTTCACAGTCACAGAGAGTCGTGTTCATTTCTTCAGAAGTTAGCGAAGCTCTTCCTAATACTCGTCTCAGCAATTTCTTAAGAATTCCTATCAATCTCTCCCACCAGCCTCCCCACCAGGAGGCAGTTGGTGGGTTGAACTTCCACTGAATTGGTGGTATAGATGTGTCTTCAGTGATTTGCTTCCAGTTTAAGTCTTGAAGTACATTTGAAGCACCAACAAAATTGGTTCCGTTGTCACAGTATATGATTCTGCTCCGTCCTCTACGAGCTATAAATCTTCTAAGAGCTAGTAGAAAACTCTCAGTAGACATCGATTCAACCAACTCTAAATGGACTGCCCTATAAATGGCGCAGGTGAATAAACAAATCCAAGATTTCTTGTTGCCTTTCAGGATTACTGGTCCCGCAAGATCAACTCCACAGATTTCAAATACAGCTGCTTCTCGTAATCTATCTTCTGGAGGAGCCCCAGTACAAGTTTCTAGGTTCTTTGCAGAAAATCTTCTACACACGGTGCATTGATTGATGATAGATCTCACAGTTTTACGAGCATTCAGAATCCAAAATCTCTCTCGTAGAATATTTATTAAAATTTGAGTACCAGCATGTGCATTTTTCTCATGATAGTATCGCACTAGTCTCTTGACAACCTCATGATTGGATGGAAGAATAGCTGGCGTTTTAAAGTCTTCTGTATCCTCACGAAAGGTAAGTTTAGTTTTTAGTCTGAGGATTCCACTTTGATCCTTGAATACTCCTAAAGTTCTTAATTTCTCATCCTTTTCATTCACAAAACAATCTTCTTGAACCATTTTGATCAATAACTTCTCAGCCTCAAAAATTTCATCAGAATCAAGGTTTCCATGCTTTCTCACTGTTTTTTCAGTTCGACAATTGGAGGTGAATCTTAGGATCCAGGCAATTAGATTAACTATCCTTTTGTATTGGGAAAAATATCTGTAATACCAGTCTCTCTTGGTAACCAAGCATGCAGAAACTAAACATTTAGTTACAGAAGAAACTATGCTCTTTTTCTTTTCTCTAACAATCTCAGTCTCATCTAAATTTAAGTCACCTTTAGGCCAATCTTCTTCAGGCAAGTAAAGCCAACTTGGACCTAACCACCACTGAGATTTCAATAAGGAGAGAGCTGAACAACCTCTACTCGGAAGATCAGCTGGATTCATGCAACCAGGAATATGTCTCCAAGAATCTTTATTTGTTAGTCTTCTTATTTCCTTCACCCTATTCTGGACAAATACACTCCAGGCTTCTTCTCTCGTTATCCATGCTAAAACAGTAGAAGAATCAGTCCAGAAGTAAACTTCTTCACTCTGTATCTCAGACAAAATTGAGGACGAAAGGCGAGACGCTATAGTAGCTGCAAGTAATTCCAATCTCGCGATAGTAGTTTCTTCTTTTCCAGTTGGTGTAACTCTACTCCTGGCTTGTATCAGTTGTACTTTAGTAGAATCAAAAGTTTTTATACGAATGAAAGCAGCCACGGCATAAGCATGCTTACTGGCATCACAGAAAATATGTACTGAAGTATTTTCACTCGTACTCCTTGAACCAAAATATCTTGGAAAATGGATCTTTTCCAGATAGTCAATATCTTTCAACCATTTTAAAAATGTAGTTCTCGTACAGGTATCAACTTCTTCATCCCATGTTATCTTCTGCTTCCAAGTTTCTTGAAGTAATAACTTAGGGATAAGGATAGGACAACATATACCAAGAGGATCAAACAATCTATGAGCTGTAGATAAGATTAAGCGCTTAGTCACTTTTTCAAAACATAACTCTTTTATACTACCAGTATTTATTCTTAGAGTGTCAGATTTTTTATTCCATATTAAACCGAGCACATTTGTATCAGCAGAAGCATCAGCATTAATATCATTGAACTCCCACCCTCTAAGCTCAAATTTTCTCTCAGCCATTACCTCAGTTGATACACTAATAAAATGATTGAGTTCTTCTTCATTTTTAACACAACTGACACAATTGTCAACATAAAAACTATGCATAAGTTTTTGAATGACACCTTTCGTATATAAGGATTCACCGGTTTCTATTTTCTCTAAAACAGTTTGTAGGTGAAGCTGAATAGTAGAGTTTAGAAGAAAAGGGCTACTTGCTACACCAAAAACTACACGGCAGTGCCTGTACACTTTCAGTTGACCATCACTATCAAGCCATAAGAACCGCAAAAAGTCTCTATCAGTAGGTGAAACACTTATTTGAAGAAAGGCTCTTCGTATATCAGCAATAACACCAATCTTTTCTTTTCGAAAGCGTGTGTTAAAATACTCGGAAGCTGTTCTATTAGATTTGGGCCTTTTTCTAAGCAGTCATTAAGACTAGGAAATCCCTTTACTTTGGGCCGAAGCATCAAATACCGGTCGGAGTTTTGTAGTGCTATTCTTTTTGATAACTTCTCGATGAGGAAGGTAAAGAACTTGCCCTTGATAATTTTTATCAGCCTCTTCAATTACTCCCTCTTCTAGCCATTCCTTGAAAACATCTCCATAAGCTTCATAATTGGACTCGATTTTAAGACGTTTAACAGTTTTGTTCAGTCTTCTCTCGGCTAAGTCAAAATAGTCTGTTAGTGGTGGATGATATTCCAACCAGGGCAAATCAACCTCGAAACGATCATCGACTATACGAACTGTATTTAGAAAATGTAACCGAGCAGCTTCTTGTAGTTCAGTCTGGTTTTTCTTGACTGATGGGTCAGTGATCCCAAGTGTGTCCAAAGTCCATAGATCTGTTATGGTCTCCACAGTAGATAACAAGGATGTAACTAAGAACGATGATGATGAAAACTCACTTTTCGAAGTATTCGGCATTCGTCCCATAACTGACCATCCAAATTTGGTCTCAATAGCTACGAGACCACAAGGCAACTCACGACGACCACCTGTCATGAGTTTTCCAGCTACATCAGCCCCAATAAGAATCTCAATAGGATTTTGACAATCATCCACAATATTTATATTACAGGCTGCTAACTCTTTCAGACAACACACAGTAGGTGGCACTGACTTACAAATAATTTGTTGACTAAGAACTTTAAAGTTGCAATTATAATTCTCATGCACACTCGATAAATATAGTTTACATCATGCTTGCATATCCCTGAGTCCTTCCCTCCAAATAAAGAGTGTTGTAAATATTCACAACTCTGAGGTTCATAGTTCATTTCTTTAGCTGTACTTCTTAATAAATATGATCGCTGTGAAGCAGTATCGATAATAGCTCTTGCGACGCGTTTTTTTCCCATTACTTCTAATTATAACTTTGAATGTTTGAAGCATTACGTCCGGAGTAGAAGATAAATTTGAAAGAGCTTGATCCACTTCAGCACTAATCTCAGTTTTCTTTTCAACTTCAGGTGATTCTTCGTTTTTTGACATAGTTATTTGGTGCATCTTTCTACACAGAAGAATATGGTGTTTTTTACCACAACACAAGCAACCAACTTTCAAGTTACAATCCTTGACTGAATGTCCAGATTTCAAACATAAAAAACACTTGTGAGATTGTTGAACCAGTGACTCCCTCTGCCTTAAAGGTATTTTTCTTACTTTTAGACAGTCTCCAGAAAAATGTGAATTAGAACAGAATATACACTGTTTTGATACTTGAGATGAAGTTAGAAGGTCTGTTGCACTAGGTATATTTGAAAACTTTCTACTCTTACATTTGTTCTCTATTACCTTTTTCTCATAGGAAAGATTATGTTTTACTTCTGCTTTTGGTTTCGATGTGTTGAAACTTTGAGAGGCTAAAAAAATGCGTTCTTCAGCTTCGACTTCGGCTTGTAAAAATTCTAAAATGCATTCTAAATCACTTTTCTCAATTATAGTTTTACTTTCGTCTGAATCATCTAAATTCACTTCTCGAATTCTACGATGAGCAGATCTATAGCGCTGCCAAGCAACAAGAGTTTCTTCGGGTAATGATGATTCAACTAGTGGAAAAAGCATTGCAGCATATTTTTCCCTAGTAACACCTAATAATTCAAGTGATCGCAGTTTACTCTCAAGTTGATCGAACAATTTTCTTAATGAATTTTTAGAAGTGTTCTGTTTTTGAAGAACTAATACTAATAAGTCTCTGACATATACCTGAATCAATAGTTCCTCTCTGCCGAAACGCATTTTCAGCTGTTTTAAAGCTTTTTCGTAACTATTACCCCCTGGGGGATAGCTCTTAATTAATTCTTCAGCAGGACTGCCTTTTTCCATTGCTTGAGATAAATACGAAAATTTATCGTGAAAATCGATATTAATGTCCTCATCAATTTTTTGAAACTGACCCCAAAAGTATAGCCAATTTCTTACACTACCGTCAAAAGTAGGTAATTTTATTTTTGGGTAACGTAATAAAGTGTTCGGCTGCGAAACAATGTTCAAATTTTCATTTTTAGAAGATAATTGTTCACTCACTAGTGTTTCTAGCTTCTGTTTTAAAGATCTCCATCGATCAATATACATTTCTGACTCATCTACCGCTTTCTCTATTTCGGTATCGGAAGTATTTTCAGAATACAACAAATGTTTATATTTCTCTTCACATGCTATCATTAAATAAGCTTTCTCTTCAATTAGCTTTAATTTATTAATTTTATCAGCACGATTTAATTTGATTTCTTCCTCATCAAAAGCATTACATGCTCGAGTAAACAACCTTCTAAGTTGCTTTCTATCTTTCAAAACAATATCCATAATGCGCAAAGAATAAAAGAAAATATAAAAATATTTTTCACTCACTCTTAAAAATGCAGCCGTAGTAGTCCTGACGCTTGGACGCCAGATATCCCGTTTTACCTTCGATATCAGAAGAATTATGATGGAAAATGAGTATACAATCAATTATCCAATGAAAGACATCTCGTCACAACACAAACAGTTTAATATTACAATTCTATTTACAAGTCTAATTAAGTGTTAGTTTTAGCTTTGACACCTCAAAGCAATACTCAGAACATAAATGGCATAAAATATTACTCATCAGTTTTTAAATACTCATGAAAAACATCTCAAAAAGTCATTATTCTCATTACTTAAAACGAAAGTAAACAATAGAACAAACTCGAAAACGTAGATGTAAAAACTCAACTGTTGCCAATCGCGATTTACTAAATTACATCAAAATAAAGATAATAATCAGGTAGAGGTTCAACTTCAGTAGGTTTCAGTTTCTTCAAAATCTGGGTGTACAGTTTCCATATCATCTTCAGATTTCAGTAAAAGTTCAGCAATCAATAACTGACTTCAGGTCTCCAAAACTTATCAGAAAGTTGCAGCTTTAAAATGGAAATTTCATTTAGATTTATAACGTCTTTAACCAGCTCATTTTCAGTTTACTTTTCAGGCTGAGAGTAAATGACATTCTCAGTCTCTTCCGTTGCTCTTTTAACAAGTTCAAATCCATCTCTAGGGAATAATTACAATTTTAGTGTTTTAGATTCAAAAAGAGCTGTCTGTGGATGATAGCACATTTTTATACTGAAAACGGAAAGCTGAAATTTAATTCAGGGTTTCGCATCTACACGAACCAGAGTTTTTTTGTAATATCCAGGGAGACAAAAGTCATTTTGAAAAATATGGAAATACTTTATTCAAGCACATGAAACACATACTAGGAGAGACACAATAACCAAATGTTCTATTAAAATTAAAGCCTAATTCTAATTCTCATACGTCTTTTAGAGCTAAAATCACTCTCTCCTAGGTTCAGTTCGCGAGAATGTGGCAATGAACATTTGTTCAATTATTTTCGTATATTTTATTTTTCAAAATGCTTTGTTAATTTATTAGTTGCAAACTAACATCACTTTTTAATCTCGGAATAAAAATTAAAAGTTCGTTTTTTAGTTACTGTAAAATAAATATTAGCCACCTTACGGATGACAAAATATTCTAAGCTGTGAGCTTTGATTACCTTTTTTTCTTTCTTACCTCTCTTGACTCGTCTACTATCTTATATCTACATTTTTTTTCTTACCTTCTCAGGTGTATTAAGTTTATGTTTCTGTGTACGTAGGTATTTCACTTTGAATATTGGATTTTACGCTTTAAGAAAAATACAAACTGTTTTATCCGTGTGTGTTTTAAAGAAATAATCCATTACACTTTGAATTTTGTACTTTCTTAATAAAAATAATGTGCCCCCGCAAGCTGTGCCAACGATATGTATTCAACAGGTGAGTTCAGAAGTTTACACATTTTCTTAAAATTGAGAATTTCTGTGTGGAGATTTTAGTTATATCTTACTTATGTAAAATTTTGTTTTTATAGTATTCAATGATAAGTAGAGTAGTTTTTTTCTGGCATTTTTTTATCTTAAATCAATAGCGGTCATTCATATGAAATAAAATCATTTATTTTATTATGAGCCTTGGAACTTTTACAGTGATATATGATGTCAAAGAAGTAATATAAATCATACATGTGTTATTGATCAGTATATTGACTCGACCTGGTTGACAGACGCGCCCATTAGTGTGGATGGATTTATGTTTTTCGCTCAAAGTTTACTCTACTGATTTATAATCTTTAGCGAAATTCTTTAACTATTTCGAAATAAGAATTTTAACATCCGGATATATTGTTCACATTTTGAGAAAAGCTTTTTAAAATATTCAGTTTATGGAAGTCACACGATAATGTTAAGTACTTCAAACGCTGAAGAACATATTCCTTCCTAAATATTGACAAGCACTGCGTATCCATAACGTAATCACATTTCGTAATGAGGTGGAATTTTTTGCCATGGATTTATATATCCATTTTCTATTTGAACTGAGTTTTTGGCATTTAGTTTTAATCATTGGTTTCATGAAATCATTATAATTAGCTCTGTGAAAAGAAAACATTTTTTACTTGAACTCAGAATTAAAAATAAAGTAATAAAATAAAAATAGAGAGTATTTTGAGTATTTTTGTTTTAACCATGAGTTATTAGATTGTCTGAAATCATCATCATGATTTTCAGTATGTGTAACATAATTTGAGTGAAAGCCAACAATCCCTGACAGCAGTTTATATCTATTAACTGAAATATATAGAACTGCTAACACTTGCACCTATTTGCAGAATTAGTAAGTTTGACAGTTAAGATGATAAAATCTTCTTGAAGTTTATGCTATTTTTGACAGATTGCAAATCAGCATTCATTGCTAATATGGTTCACTGTCATATGCTTACGGTATTTTGTAAATACTGAATATGAAGTATGCTCTCAAATATGTACATTTCTAATCCTATAGCAAACGATTATTCAACTATTTGTTAAATTTGTTACTTAATAAAAAGCAATCGATTGTCATAAACTAAGAACAAACTGTAAAATATTAAAGAAGCTTTAAATTTTCTCTCTGCCCCCCCTTTTTTTAAGCAATCAAACTAATAGAATCCCTAAGATTAAAAAAGCCGAGTCACTGCTCTAGAGGCAAAGCTCTAGCACCATCTTTGAGTTTATTCCATTTCTTAATGTTAGTCATAAAAATTAAAAAAATAATTATTCTTATAATGAAAGTTTCATTTCCTTCCAAATTTCCTAAATCCTGAATGTCTGATTTTTCGGTCTATAGTGAAAAAGGGGAAGAAAATCAGCAATTTCTTGTAGAAGTTGATTTTCATCATAGTAGTATTACATCATGAATGAAAGCCTAATGCACTCTGATAGTGTGAAATGGTGAAATCCAGGCTTTACTTCCAGTGGCGGACTGGCCAAAGAAATCAGCTCTAAGGCCCCATATGAAATGCCATTATACATATAAGTTAATATTGTCATCATCATCATAAAAAATAATTTTATAAAATAAAAATATACCTTTGCAGAAAATTAATAGTTTATTCATATATATATGTATAATAGCCACTACACGTCCAGCCTTCATCTGGCATTTAAATGTACCAGAAAAATGCCTAAAGGGAACACCAAACATTAAATTTAAAAACTGCACAAAATTTGACTCTGCAGAACAACTTTATGGGTAAACAAAAAGACAAATTTCAATAAAAATTTATTACATATAAAAAATTACAGTGGAATAGGCAATGCAATATCCCTTAATACAAGTATTAATTATTCTAATAAATAAATTAACCAACTTCCCTTTGCCTTCTCTCAACAAGCGTCCAGTATCCAAGAGAAACATTAAAAACTGCACAGAATTATCGTCCTTATTTTTCCAAGTGGCAACAGTGCTGATTTTCAAGTCGGTGTTCCAGTATACAAAGCATTGAATGAAAAACTGTTGCCAAACTACATTTGTAAAAGAATGAAACTATTTCCAAATGATGCAATTTCATCAAAAAAGATAAAATAAAAAAAATCCGATTCGGATTTTTAAAAAATCGCTTCGAGGTGCATTGGCTCTTTGTCTAGATGCACCTATGTACCAAATTTCGTAGCCCAGGGTCTAATAGCATAAAGCACGAAAGACACTCACACACACACAGACAGACCCTTTCTTTTATTATATGTAGAGATGCACATAAGCTACAAGAGTAAATAACAGTTACTAAACAAGACAAAGCATTTCTTGATAAAAAAAACAAACAAAACAATGGCTATATAAACAGAACAATGATTGATCCATAATTAGCCATTTAAATGTTTTATTAATTAGGTGCTTGAGCCAAATATTTCTTCCATTATATCTTCAATTTTTGCTTTATTAACCGAAATATCCTCCTCTATGTTCATCAACAGCAATCATTCCAAATTAGCTTGCTTCATAGTACTCTGTAATATATTTTTTGCAATTTTGAATTTTGAAAAAGGTTTTTCACATTCAACTTGCATTATAGATATGGTGTGTACAAACTTATAAATAAAAAAGACATTGCCATATTCATTACTATGTAAATTATATTTTTATATTTCTAGAGTAATTTATATACACGCAAGATGCATTTTTTCAAAAATTGCATTTAGCTTTGGATGAATGCTCATTAACCCTCTGAGCGGCCAGGGTTTTTCGCTAAGAAAGCACAAATTTCCCAAAACTACTATGAGAATAAATTATTTTTTTTATTTTAATGTAAAAATTCTCCTGGTATTTCATACCTGGATTTGTTTTCTTTTTGATATATATCCTTAATGTCTTTGACATCACAAAAAATATTCTAGGCCGTATATATACGGCCTTGCCGCTTAGAGGGTTAATAGATAGAGCACTCTCTCTTTCTGACTCGGCATCAGATACAAAATAATGATTTTCAGTTGAATTGTTTAGTATTTCTAAATTAACTACTATGTTCTGATATTCATCCTTAAGATTATCAGCTGTTACACTTGCATAGTGCTCTAATAATATAGCTAAATAGTCAAAAGAACTCGGCGACAATGGCTTTGAAAAGTTTTTGGGATCAAGAAATGCTTTGTCATCATACAACTCCCTATGCCCTTTAAACCTACTTTCCATTGATGAAATAATATTATTCATTATAAAATTAAAGACAGTAACTTCAAATTTTTTGATATGGCAATTGAAATTATAGTCGGACAATTCTTTGTCGTCCATTTGTTTCACTTTTTGGCATTATTTAGCAGGTAGTTCTTCCTTTATAAT